TCATTGCGTTGGAATACTGTGTCAGATAGTTGCCATTCTAGGATGACGACAAGAAATAGGAGCAGCAGAGACTTTTGTTATTAAGGCGTTTAAGCTCATCCGAAAAGTGCTTTGATGATACCTAGAAGGAATTCCAAATCTGAGCTCGAGAGATAAGGTCAGCAAGGGAGCTCAGCTCATGGAGTCCGAGCTCAGAGGTCCATACCTAGAGCCCCGTCGACATGCACCCAGAAGTGGACAAGCGGTGAACAGCTGGTAGTCACAAGACAATCCCCCAACGATAGGAAGCTCCAATCTAGGCACAAAATTCTCAAATCACCACAACCGTCTCCTAGAATCAAGCAAGACACCACAACTGGGAGGCAAAGATCTTGCCATAGATTCCATAGAATTAGGAATTGGACTATAAATATTGTACAGTACCCCCAAAACGGGGCAATTCACTCAAATTGTATCAAAAACACTGTAAAATCATCCCGAGGCCGTTAATATGGATTCAAGGAGCAAGAGACTCCATTGAATAGTAGATTAGTCGAGCTCTTGAGTTGGTGAACCACAATCATCCCCCTTCCCTCTGAGAATCTTAGCATAATCCTCTTGAGCCAAGAAGCTCAGTTCTGAACTTATTCACATATTCATACATTCTGCTCATCCACGTTACTCACACCATCATGCTTCATCTCTCGGATCGTTTGTATCTCAGCATAGGGCGAGATTCCATTCTGTTGTACAATGCACCCGACTTCTTTATTGGCTTTGAGCCCATTAAGAATCAAATCAAAGACCTCATCCATAGGGAAATTGGAATTAGTCCACCTATGGGACATGAGGGGCCGCTTGTTGGCTTAGAGGAAGAGGTGCAGCTTCTTATTGCACAATTGGTCACAAACAATGCAATCCGCAGGGTGGTATCAATTGTTAGGAGATGAGGTATAGGGAAAATAACTGTTGCCCAAAAGGTCTACAACAGAGTCATCGTGCATAAGCATTTTAATTGCCACGCCTAGGTGAGCATACATCAGGACTAATCTATCAAATCTGTTCAACTAAAAATAGCGGTGCAAGTTATGCCGTTGGAAAAATTGGACAAACCAAAAACTATGGAGGAGTTGTTAGCCAAATAGTTGATGCATACGAGGTATCTCATAGTTTTGGATAGCGTGCAGACACCTCAAGACTGGACTATCCTTGAACAAAGTTGTGCGGGCAAAAATTCGCACAATCCCTAGAATGTTGAAGGTGCGTCCCTAGTCTTTGAATCCCATCCGGTCTACGAACTGCAAGGCAGAAAAAGGTTAGAGGGACCCCTGGCGTTGAGCTAGGGGAGGCCCCTCCGATGCCTAAGTCAGTATTGCGATCAATACATGAATAAGCGAGTGTATGAATTGAAAAATAATATAGGTGTGTGTGTGGAGTATGGAGCCAAGGTGCTCATACTTTAGGCCCCTTCTTTCTTGGNTACATGAATAAGCGAGTGTATGAATTGAAAAATAATATAGGTGTGTGTGTGGAGTATGGAGCCAAGGTGCTCATACTTTAGGCCCCTTCTTTCTTGGCTCTTAACCCATATATATAGAGAATGTTAGAGAGCTACTTACCCTACTGTCCAGCCGTCAATGTAGGAAAATAGGCATGGACTAGCCTGCCAAAACACTCATTACTGTCTCCTTGAGTTGACACCTTCTTGAGATGTGTATCTTTGCAGGTCTTGTAAATTGTGCTAGACTCCAATTGGTCCATCAAGGAGGTTGGTAGCTTTGTCCTGGGAAGATAAACCAGGAGTCTCATTATGATACACCTATGTGATGTGGGACCCTCTTCGTTGACGCAAAATATGGTCCATCAACTGTCCCCTAGCTTTTATTTCCTTCGTAATACTAGAAGGGGATGAAAGCTATGAAGAATATTCATGCCACCTTCTGATAAGATATAGTTTAGAATAGATATGTCGAGATCTTCCATATGTCATCAAAGCAATCATGAAGTCGGAATCAAATAGATAATAACATGCATATAGTCCAAATGCATTTTTCATTCCTAGCAGAATACCAAGATCAATATATGTAGAGCTCGAAGATCCTATAATCAACGAATGATAATCCCAATAATCAGATCAATGAGCCTATCGGATATCGTAGTTGATCTTTCCATGCTTGATCAAAAGGATAAGAATTTATGGACCCGACAATTAACAGTGATCATACAAGAAATCCCTCACACCGAGTAATAGTGAGGTGTCCCACTNAGTGATGGACCCGACAATTAACAGTGATCATACAAGAAATCCCTCACACCGAGTAATAGTGAGGTGTCCCACTAAAAGGCAGAATAATGGAAGTCCAAGCATAATCATAAGATGTTGCTGCAGAAAGCCGAGCATTATTGAAATGCCTTATTAAGGGGATGGTCAATAGAATACCAAATATAACCATAAGAGGTTATTGGGGAGAGTCGAGTCCTGAATAGGACGACCATAATTGCACCTCAATCCCATCCAAAGAAAATAATAATATTCAAATCCCGAGAAATAAATGAATCCCAACAAAGGATCGTCGGGAGTTGTCTAAGGGAAACCCATCCACTGGCCTTTAAGAATGGCTCAAGTAAATCTGTCTATTTAGAGAAAATTCGAGTAAACTTGGATCATCTAGGCCATAAGAGAAGGCCCAAACATATATGTCCCTTGGCCTTGATAATCTTGAGCTGGCGATGAACTCGACAATGAGTTTTACTTTCCTGTCATGTTCAAGTAATATTTAAATAAAAACGTACCTTGTGAAATCGAGTCATGAACCAACTGAGCTCGTGGTTGGATGATCCAAGGTTCTCTCAAATTTTGCTTGCGAGAATATTTACATCTAACCTCTGATCATGCAAATTGATGTTGGGCCAGTTCTTTTCTTCCTAACTGTATGCCATCATGTCAAAGAGAGTCTCGTGTCACCTCCATAATCAAGGAGTATTCTGAAATGCATGCTCTCGAATCTGTCGTCGAAATTTTTTTGCCTATAGTAGGACTTTTGATGTTTTGGTCATGCAAAGGCTTACCCACGTTCATGGGCCCGCAACCCACTAAGTGCCTAGACATATAGGGCTTTTGGTGCTTTGGTCATGCAAAGACTTATCCGCATTCGGGTTATAACCTCCCTAAACAAGGAGTACTCTCGAGTCCAAGTTCTTGAACCTGTCCCCGAAAGGTTTTATGCCTACATTAGGACTTTTGGTGCTTTGACTGAGTAAAGGCATACCCGTTTCTAGGGCCCGAAGCCCATCAAATGCCTAATCACATAGGGCTTTGGATGCTTTGGCTATCCAAAGACTTATCCGTCTCTAGGGCCTGGAGCCCATCAAATGCCTAATCATATAGGGTTTTGGGTGCTTTGGCTGAGCAACAGCTTGCCTGTCTCCAGGGCCCGGAGCCCTACTGAGTGTCTTGTGCACAAAGGCCTTCCTCCCACTACTTGAGANCAGGGCCCGGAGCCCTACTGAGTGTCTTGTGCACAAAGGCCTTCCTCCCACTACTTGAGATTTCATCAAATAGTGATAGAAGAATTTTTGTTTAGCCCAAGCCTTGTCAATTCATGTGTGTTTATTCTTGCATCCCACTAGATTTAATTGGAGATGGTGTCAATTATTTTTTAGCTAACATTGAGCCTTGATTTCATTCAAAGATGCCGAGCAATTGCAATGTTTCTCTACTGTGTATGTCATAAGTTCTCTGGGTACTGACGGATGTTACTAATCGAGTCCTTTGGGGTGATAGACTGATCATCTTTAGCACTTGATGGATTAACCAACTAGGGATTGATAGGCCGACAGCTCTTGTGTGAGGCCGATCGTCTTCCAAGTGCCTAATGTTATACCGACCAAATAATTAGGTAGAAGATTTAATTTACTTGAATGTGGGCTCAGAGATATCATAGAAGGAGATAGAAAAATCTCTGTCTTTTGGGAGTGATATTCAGTGGTGGTAACAACCACTTTTTTGATAATGCCGACAAGAGGAATTGCTTCTTAATATAATAACCCTTGACTATGAAGGTCACATGGCCATGTTCTCTAAGTTCTAGGGGGAACCCTTCATACATAGAGCAAATGTTTGGAGATAGATTAATTATTCTTTGGCCTTTGTTGACGAAATTGCCCCCTCGGGGTTGATAGGTTGCCATCACCTAGCCGAGGTGAAAGACCACCATGGAAGCTTGTTTTCCTAGATTCAGACCCATCAATTGGGAGATTTTTCCCCTTGAGCCATAAGCAGTGAACCGATGCTATAACAGTAGCTTGCCCAATATTTTCACACCCATCGATTATGAAGAGGAAATGGACTTCGCCCAATTTTGACAAAACTTGGCTGGGCACATCAAGAAGAGAGAGAGAGAGAGATAAGCAAGATGGTTGCGAGCACTTACTGCTATGTGCTTATTCAAAGATGCCTAATAATTTCCATGAGTTCTATTAATAGCACCGACCGAGAACTCCCAAATGCATTAGGCTTGCAAGATTACACTAGGGCCGTGAAGGGTACCATCATGGGCAAGCTGTGGTGTTCAAACACATATCCAAACGAAAATCTACGTGGGGTGGCTCTTATTCCCATCAATCTTTGATGAAAAGAATGATAATCTAAAAGAAGGGATCACAAAATGATTTCTTAGACTAATCTGGGTGAGGAACCGACCACCTGGGACTGACCATCGGTGCTGATGGATGAGACTGAGTACTTCGGTAGGACAAACAGTTCACATGGCGCCATCTATCACTTGCTTGACTTAAATAGCCCAAGAGAATCCTTGAGCCTAAGGACAAACCATAACCTGCTGCTTGATGTGAAGCCGATCACCACTTGAGAGTTTTGTTCAACTGATACGAAGGTCGAAATAGTGCCGCTAGTTGCAGAGAGATATTCAAGAGAGGAGACCGTGCAAGGTCACTTGTCCGGAGGTAGTGCCGAACACCACTTGATGGGCTGACCACCAAAAATATTTTGGGTTTAGCTAATGCCGAGAACTATAGTTGAGGCCGAGGCCTTGCTCCGAGAACACGTGGCTTCGGGACATACCCTTGCTGTGAGTAGTCCCCCGATGCCATGCCAAAATAAGGGGACTTTTGCGGCCGAGATGCCTTGATGATGCCGAGTCTCTATTGTGACCGAGAGACTACTTGCGGCTGTTGTGAGCCGAGGTAGGGCTGCTTCTTGGGGACTTGAAGTGGCAATGCCGATCCCCAATGATCTCTGGAGGGGTGCACCGACAGTGCACAAGGTTTGCCTCTTTTCTTTTTTTTTTTGTAGTTGTGATACGATTGACAAAGAGTGATTGCTGACAAGCTTTGCATTTTTGCATGAAGATATAAAATAGTGAGATATCCTGAGTTCTATCAACATTAAAATAGTACTGATATGTCGATCCCCGTGAGCTTTCGATACACTAACTGTGCGTGCTGGATCTTTGCACAATATAAATACGAGAACAGATCTCTCCCTTGGTGAACTCGAGTGAGTCAGTCGAATGATCAACCCTGCTGCCTGGGACGGCCTGTGAGGTCCGGTGGTAACCTGGAACGATAACGAGAGACCCTCGTGGGTCAATGGAACGATCTAGGAAGGTTGAGGAAGGTGCCTAGAACAAAGAAAGACAAGTTAGAAGGGCGCCGGAGTGTTTTCTGGCATATCCCCTCCGACGATCAAGTCAGTTTTTGAGAGAGAGAAAGAAGAAAACACTGAGTATAATTCATAGTAAAGATTTTTTGTTCTCACTTTTCTTGCCTTTTGCGATGAGTATTTATACCTCAAATACTCATGATTGCTGTCAGTGTGGTCAGTAGGTGATCATTAAATACAGGCAACGTGCGCATTGATTCCTACGAGTAATGTCTTCTCTTTTTAATTGCTCGGGATCCCGAGCAACCAAGGCCGTGTCATCGGCATGCCGACTGTTTAATGAGCTCCTCTCGGAGAGGATGCAATAAATGTCCAGCCTTAGAGACGTTTATTGCCTATCACTTCCGAGTCTTACCGCATTGAATGCAGTCTCATCAAGGGAATGGTGTAATTANGATAGTTCTTGTTGACCATATGTGACGCCGAGGCCTTATGCACACTCCATTTGATTTGAGTGCATTTGCCGATCTTTAGGCTGATCGACAAGCATTGATCCATGGGGTTGATCATGGTGGGTGAGTGATTCATAGTGGCTGAGAGCTTTATAGTAGTGTCTGAGGAGTGAGATCGACCATTCAAAAATGCCGNACTATGCCACGCGTCCGTTCCCGATTGGCTGTGGCCCCTGCCTTCCTGTGCATTCTGACACCAATTGCGTAAGACGAGGTCATGATAACTAACCTAGCCTAGCCTAGGCTATTGACCTGTACATCAGTAGCTCTACAGGAGAAGAGAATGTCATCCTGAACATTGGTACATGTCGGTACCGAGGGGGGGATTGGTACATATAGCGACCGATGTACCTATATCAGACCGAGGGATACGTGTCGATACGTAAACGTACTGGATGCCACTTAATCCCTATGACAAATACCTCGGGGGAGAGGGACTTTGTGAACCGATGCGTACGTAATCTTAGTAACAAGAATTAGTAACACCGAGGACACGTGTTTTCATTTTGGAGTATTTCGAAAATGTCACATCACTAACGTCGAGGAATTAGATCATTGTTCTTGTCACTTTGAGGGCAGAGTAGATTAGAGCTCCAGGTGAACTCAGAATGTCATCCACAAGGGAATAATGGAAGGCTTTTTTTCCTTGATGGACAATAAGACATATTCTGAAGTGGGTTTATGTTGCCATGGGGCAAGAAAAGACTGAATGTAGTTTTGTCGTTGATAGAACTAATATCTTGGACCATTTTCTAGATTTGTCGATGTTGCTGAATAGCTTATGGGCCAATGTAGACCGTCTCCCGAGTTGGTGATTGTGTCAACCAACGGGTTTTTCAAGTTGTGCTTCATGGAGATGGAGATGATCAAAAAAGGAATCTCATGGTGTCTCAAACAATTGCAGCGATCATCATCAATGATGCTCAAAGGTGAGACCGACCACTTTCCTAGGAGGGGGCCGACCACCTAAGAAGCTGGACTCGTCTAATGATGCCGATTATAGACCTCTTTGGATTGCTTGAGGTGATCAATATTGGCAAGTAGGGGCCCAAAAATAGGTGAAACTTCTTTTTTTTTCTTGTACTCAAAATGATAGTTCTTGTTGACCATATGTGACGCCGAGGCCTTATGCACACTCCATTTGATTTGAGTGCATTTGCCGATCTTTAGGCTGATCGACAAGCATTGATCCATGGGGTTGATCATGGTGGGTGAGTGATTCATAGTGGCTGAGAGCTTTATAGTAGTGTCTGAGGAGTGAGATCGACCATTCAAAAATGCCGATCGCCTTGGTCATTGATGCCGACTAGAGTAAAACAGTTCCGACCATCATTTAAGTGATGCCAAGATCCTCTAGGTATTCGATTAGGGGACGCATGCCGATCACCTTGACTAATTAATTCATGGTATGCCGAGTGTGGTTTGTAACCGTTGATTGCTTTGGAACAGTATCCGAGAAGTGATACCAACCGCCATTAACTATGGGGCTCGGGGTAGTGCTAATGAGAGCCCGAATGCGCTGGGTATATCGGCTTGACAGAAAGGGCTACTGGATGACAGAAAACCGAGAGCATGGGTTCCGATTCATGTCGACCACCTAACACCGCTCAGTGCATCGAAGTTGCTGGCCTCATGTCTAGACCATTCCAAGGATTCCTGGGAATAACTGGTCTTTCTCAATAGCACCGAGGTACGCTGAAATTCAGGTGATGGTGGGATCAAACGCCACTGCATGATCTACTTTGTATTTGCCGACCATCTTCAGGTTGTAGTTACCACCGAAAGGAATCAGCCGAGTTCAACACGAGTTCTACAATGCTGAAAACAAAGACAGATGCATGCTTCCAATAGGAGAACTTTGTCTCTTGCTAGGCATAACATGTGATATTTAGCCAACTTTAAATATCTTGGTGCTTGTGTTTACTTGCATCAATACACGTGATGTAGCTGATCTCAAGAGCAAAACAAGGCAGGCATAGTAGCCTCTGTCTATAGTGAAAGTTGTCTACAGAATTGAATATGTGGTCCCACAAAGTGAAGTGGACCATGGACTTGAGCATGACTTAGCTTATACTTTTTACACTTCAAGAGATTTTCGTTCTCTCTGCCTCCTGCATGACACAATGACATGTAAATAAGGGCCGAGGCATGAAATGACATCCAAAACAAAGGACTTGGCACTTGGCCCTCGACTTAGCTTGTACTTTTGCACTTTAGGAGAACGCCGTGTTATTTCTACTGTGCGCACAGTAATTTGACACTAAAAGGGGCCGAGATACGCAAAAATAAAAAGACCAAGCAAAGTCCTTTTTTTGAATTTTCATTTTACTCATGCTAATGGTGAGGAGGGAGAGATCATCTAGCAAAGATAATAACAAGGACGACTTTGAGCAATGACCCATATATTTTATGATAGCGTTCATGAGTTCAACTACGGGGTACCTACGACGTGGATTCAAGTTCCAAATCAATTCTTTTTGGCGTATATAGACATGTTTTATGAGCAAATGAATTCTTTTTGGCGTATATAGACATATTTTATGAGCAAATAATGGACAGCTGCTACATGCACCACCTAACAATGTGCAACCATAACCTTGATCGCTAGGTGTGTGATAAAACAAATCACTTATCTTTGTGTTTGCTGCAGAGCTCCATCGATGAGGATATGTTATAGGTAAATGTCCAGAGTGCCATAACGGCAAAATGAAACACCAAGCTAAAGGCAGTGTGCTTGAATGTCCACCACTTTATAATAAGAGGTTAGTAATCTACTAAGTGTCGAGTGTGTCTGGTCTTTGCTTTCGCCAAATTCAGTGCACAGATATGTGAAATAAGGAGACATCCCGAATTCCATCCACATACAAAATAATAATAGTGACATGCCGGAGCTCCATCAGTTGAACAAATATAGAGAGACCAAGTCGAGCGAGTGACTAAATGCAAAAGCACTTTCCCGTAGTCGAACTTTTTCTAGATCTCAAGACTTTTTGATGCGTCGATTCCGGGGAGGGGGTCATTCTCGGCGCCTTGGTGGCATGATTGAAGGTCCGTTACGGTGCAAACTTCCTTCTTGAATCTAGTGGGAATGAACTTTGGACATGGAATCCACAAGTGCACAATGGAAGGCTCCACTACTCAGGTGCATTGTGATAATGCCGAGGGGTTTCTAGTAGAATAATTAGCAAGGGCGGCCGAGGATGCCTCATGTTGTCTATGCCGAGACCGAGATCAAAACTTTGAGTATCCGACCACCATTTGCATGATTCAAGAGCAGGAAAGGCTGTCCCGATGTTGCAAGAATATTAAAGATCTTACAGGAGTATTGAATGGCCCCCCAAAATATGGAAGTGGGTTTTATATTTAGCATATGGCAAAACAAAGGATTCAATGAAGGTGTGAACAACTTGCAAAGAATATGGAAATATTAGTTTGGCATGTTGACTAGGACTATTTGTTTTTTTTAGGAACAGACCAAGACTGGGTTCTCCATGCAAAGGATTTCATGGTGGGGTCATCTAAGAACATTACAATGTTCTGTGTTTCTATGAGTTTAGAAGAAAAACCGAGCGGCCGAAGTCAGGACCGAACTCAATATGCTTACCAAATATAATAAATCGAGACTCATGAACAGATGATACAAGGTACTGAGAAGGGTATCTGGATTATGCAGAGCCCATGGACAGACGAAATGAAGATTTTGAAACGCATAGCATCATTTCCCACAGACAGTGCCAAATTGTGCGGGCAAAAATTCGCACAATCCCTAGAATACTGAAGGTGCGTCCTTAGTCTTCGAATCTCATCCGGTCCTTGAACTGCAAAGCAGAAAAAGGTTAGAGGGACCCCCGGCGTTGAGCCAAGGGAGGCCCCTCCAATGCCTAAGTTAGTATTGCAATCAATACATGAATAAGTGAGTGTATGAATTAAAAAATAATATAAGTGTGTGTGGAGTATGGGGCCAAGGTGCTCATACTTCAGGCCCCTTCTTTTTTGGGTCTTCACCCGTATATATAGAGAACGTTAGAGAACTACTTATTCTACTGTCCATCAATCAATGCAGGGAAATAGACATAGACTAGTTTGCCAAAATACTCATTACTGACTCTTTGAGTTGACACCTTCTTGAGATGTGTATCTTTGCATGTCTTGTAAATTGTGCTAGACTCCAATTGGTCCATCAAAGAGGCTGGCAGCTTTGTCTTGGGAGGATAAATCAGGGGTCTTATTGTGATACACCCATGTGATGTGGGATCCTCTCCATTGATGCAAAATATGGTCCATCAAAAGCCAACTAGCCGGATCTTCCGGTAGTAGAATCATGATTATTACTCGCAATAGGGAGATAGTACGTGATGACCCATATTGTTTTGTTCTTGAAAAGCGGGCATTAAGTGATGAAGAGGGCTGCGAGTTTTTCAATGCAAGGATGGGCTCTTTTATCCCCAAGAAGTTCGAAGAAATTGGGAGAGGAATTGTGATGAGGTGCATGGGCTTGCCATTGTTGATTTGTAAACTGGGAGGCAAATTGTCAAAGAGAAGAGCTACCCAGGAGCAGTGGTATATGGCACTAAAGGAGATTAATCATGACCAAATATTGCTCATAGAAAGTGTTGTTGATGGATTAACCTCAAATTTTAAAAAAATGCCTTTTATGTTTTGATATTTTCAATGAAGACTCTGAAGTTCCAGTGAGAAGAGTAATTGCATATTGGGTTGCTGAAGGATTGTTGCATGAAAAAATAGACACAGCAGAAGCCCCTGAATGTATTGCTGAGAAGTTTCTAATGGAGTTAGTACAACAAATCTTGATTGTGGTGGCAAAATGGAAGCTCAATGGCAAAGCAAAAACATGTCGCATGCACCCTCTCTTGAGGGCTTATTGGTTGTCAAAAGTCATGGTAGTTAACTCGGTTCCTCTCAAAAGCAAAGTAGCAAAGGACTGTTGCATGAAAAAAGTAGTTAACTTGAAATTTTATTAAACGGTAACTTAGCGTAAGGTAAATGGATTAAAAATTTCGTAAGTAGCAATCCTTCATCTAACCAAAAGGAATATTTTTTTTTTTTTATGAGCCCTACCCTACATGTGAGTTTCCAGGAAATAACATATGCACAACTTAGTCTTCATTATGCACATATTTCTACCAAAGAATACAGCATTTTTCTCATTGGGTAATTACATCAAAATTTCCTAATGTATCTTTGTTTTTTTTTCTTGGGTCCCCTAGATTTCCTAAGATTTATTGGTTGATCAAACGGATCCTCTCTTACTTGAAAAATAATAATTTCACCCCCTAATGTTTTGCTGCTGATAACATCTAATCCCCTGATTGTATTATCAATTAGAGGGATTGTCAATTTTTTACTATATCATAACATTTATAGTAAAAAATTTATTAATCTTGCTCCCATCAGGATAAATCTGCCCCTTCCCCCGTTACGAACTACATATATATATGATCTTTTAAGAAGTGAGCATCTATATTTTTAATGAGGTCCGTAGAAAGAATAAGAAATGTGATTTCAATTTATTTCTGACTATCAATAGGATGCGTGAATTTAAGAAAGCGGTTTGTGTTGGCCAAATCAATGAGCAAATACTTTTGAAGGTTTGGGACGAAGATGGTTGAGATAAGAAGAAGATATTAACTTCATGCATTTTGTATTATGTTGTGTGGTGATGTGTTTCTGAAGTATCTTATAAATTTGGAATTTTGGACGTTCACTCTATAACGTGTTTTAAATTCAGGCAGACGTAACTCAGAACAAACAATATTATACAACATTATCTTAAACTCTTTTTTTTTAAGACCAAATTACATAGAAACTATAATTTATTCCAGGTGGAGTTGCAAGGAAGTGAACTTGCATAGGACTATAACAAGTCTAGATTGTTTTCAGGACCCAAAAATGTGACTTGCTAAGAAACTATTTATACATGACTTAGTCTTCATACGTAAATAATTCTACAAAGGAATGGGACTTTTTTTTGTTACGCTAATTGCATGTAGTGTTTTTTTTTTTCAATTTATTTTTCGATTTTTTAGTCTGTATTGCATGAATAATTGTAAAACAGAGGAGCATTTTGATCAAATGAATTTTTAGCTCATGAAGAGTCTATTAATGATGGATTTGGTTTAAAGAAAAAGAGTCCGAGTCTTGTGTTTTATTTATAATAATGCATGTTGACACGAATACGATACAATTGTCTTTCACTACTATGCCAAAACAACGTTCAATTTCCTACTAGAATAAAAACGTTGCATATGGTTTAACAACGAGTTTGGTGAAAATCTACGCTACATATTCTGAATTTAAAGTCCACTGGTCAAATAAAAATTGAATTTAAACGATATACATAATTTGTGAGTAATTTTGAGCATTCGAGATTTATGTTATACTAAACCGCGTCGGAATTGCTTTAGAATAAGGTAAATGGACGGAAAATTAGATGAGTCTCACATGTGACTTTCCACGAAATTACATATGCACACCTTAGTCTTAGTCTTCATAGTATAGATATTTTCTACCAAAGAA